GCAATAGGGTTTAAGTTTAGTGGGTTTCGACTCTCACACTCGCACAAGTTTAGTGGGTTTAGGGTTGAAGCCGGGCTTAGGGTTTAGGGTTTAGGGTTTAGGGTTTAGGGTTTAGGGTTTAGGGTACTACTACTACTACTACTACTACTACTACTACTACTAGCTGGGTAGGCCTCTGGGATACTTTGCATTTTCCCTTACGTGCGAATGTTTTGTGCAGGCTCTGTAGGGCCCCAGCCAAGGCAATGGCATCGCCTGTAAATCCCTCTGCGATGGTACGGTTGATGATGTAAATCCTGCATTACTCAGAATATAAGGAATGTACGTACCATAGCCCCCAGAGTTTATTAGGGTCCTTCAAGTACCGCCGGATTTATATCATCAACAGAAGTATTCTAGATGCAAAGCATCCCAGCCCCGGTTGGAGTTTTCCAGGCCCCATCCGCCCTAGAAGCCTTCTAGAACCGGTTTAGGGTTTAGGGTTTAGGGTTTAGGAACCCTTATTCTAGATATCCACTTCTAACCCTTAAGGCCCCCACACCCGAAACCCTAAATCCTACACCCACCTCAAAGCTACCCTGCAGATCATCCCGTTGGCTTTGCCTCCTGACCGGCCGTTGGAGTTGCTGCTGGCTTCATAAATGGGGCTTAGGGTCGAGGGTTGGGGGTTTAGGGTTTAGGGCTTAGGGTTGAGTTTTGGGGATCTAGCCGGTTTAGATTATCGTGTTTTAGAGGATACGTAACGGAGGTGCGTAATGTGTGTCTTGTAGCTATTTTTTGCCTTTTGCATGGGTGTTCATGACGTGTTCTGTGCCATTGTTCCATTACTTGTTTGAGCCCTTTCCTTTGTAGGAAACCCGAAGCCTTTTAAGCTCTCAACTCTTAGCCCTAGACCCTAAGTCAATAAACCCTAAACAATAAGCTCTAAACCAAACCTGAAACCCTAAACCCTAAACCAAATCCTAGACCCTAAACCCCAAAAAACACGCCCCAAACCCTAGACCAAACCCTGACCCCCAACCCCAAACCCTTACCCCCAAGCCCTATACACCCCAAGCCCCAAATCCCCAGCCGCAAAGCCAAAGGCCTCAAACTTTCCTTTTAACGTTCCGAATGGGCCCCAAAACCTGTGTTCTTAAGTCTTCATCAATGCCCCTCTGTTCGAACCCATATGGGTAGTTCTCTAAATTAGGGTCCCTTTTGGGGTCCTTTTTTGTTGCCTCGAAGCCGAGGCTGTCGTCGACAAGCTTCGCAGACCTGGACCAGGTCGGGGGGGTTGAGGGGTTTAGGGTTTAAGGTTTTGGGTTTAGGGTTTAGGGTTTTGGGGGTTTTGGGGTTTAGGGTTTAGGGTTTAGGGCTCTGGGGGTTTAGGGTTTAAGGTTTAGGGGTTTAGGATTTAGGGTTTAAGGTTTTGGGTTTTGGGGGTTTTGGGGTTTAGGGTTTAGGATTTAAGGGTTTAAGGTTTTGGGTTTTGGGTTTAGGGGTTTAGGGGTTTAGGGGTTTAGGGTTTAGGGGGTTGGGGTTTAGGGTTTGGGATCGAGGTTTAGGTTTTGAGGTTTAAGGTTTGGGTTTAGGGATAAATAGCAGGGTCGGCATACCGGTGGCGTTCCTCAGGTTTGCCTTAGTATAGTTTTGCTGGTACTATAATGTACCCCGAAACCATACTCCAGTTATTATGCGTTCTTTAAATCATGTTTACAGAGTTCAGGGTTTATTTAGGGCGCCCTAAGCCCTAAACCCTAAACCCTAAGCCGAAAAGACCCTAAACCTTAAACCTGGGGCTTAGGATTTCATTCCGTTTTGGAGTTCCTGTCGGGGTTCGGCAGAAGTTCCAGGGCCTTCGTGGGGGCCAAGGGCTTGTAGGGTTTGGGTTTACGGGTTTAGGGTTTAGGGTTTAGGGTTTAGGGCTTGAGGTTTGGGGTTTTAGTTTGGGGTTTGGGGTTTAGGGGTTTAGGGTTTAACCACAGACATATCTAGGATCCTATAATCCTAAGCCCTGAACCCTAAACCCTCAAGGTAACCTCAAAACGGAACTACGATGGAGACGATAGGTTGAACCTGGCGCAAACCCTAAACCCGGCTGCAACAATGCCCCGAAACTACGGTTGATGATATAGACCCTCCATTACTATAAGGACCCTAAGCTACGGGAATCATGGTATATTCCTTGTTATGGATAGTGCAGGATTTAAATCATCAACCGTAGGTACACTAATGGCCCAACACCCCCTAAAAAGGCGACGGCTCTGCATAGTCTTGGGGTCCAGGTAGACCCTAAACCCTCTAATGTAGGAGCCTGAATAAGATACCCTGGCCTTGTAATACTGAAATACTGGGGTTCATATTAAGAACCCCAAAAAAAGCCTTAGGGTTTCTTGATCAGGGTTTAGGTTTTAGGGTTTATTTATTGTTTAGGGAGGTTCCTATGATATTAGTTTGTAGGCACACGTCCTGAAGCGCAAGTAAACGAGCAGGTGCGGGTGGCCCTCCTGCTATAGATGAGACAAGGACCCTTAGAGGATCCTAGGGACCCCTCAACGAGCACGAAAAAGACACCCTACGATTGATGCTAGAAATCCTGTATGACCCATAATACGGAAGATACCCTAATGCCCATAGTTTAGGGTCCTTAAGGTAATGCAGGATTTGTATCATCAACAGTAGGAACCCCTCAAGGAACCTCCCACCCGCCACGTACGAAGCACTTGGAAGCTCGGGGTGTCGACACCAGGAGGAAGAGGACTGGCACGCGCTGATAAGGCCCTTCAAGACACTCAAGACATGGGTGGTTCTCTAAATTCGGGTCCCTTTTTGGGGATCCTTTTTATAAGGGTGCCGTACTGTGTTGGGGACCTGAAGAGGGGCCCTAATTTAGAAAACTACCCACATGCATTGTTCCTTCGTGGTTCGGCATGCCTGGCGATTTGGAGTTGATTAGTCGCACATGGTGCGTTGATCATGTCTGTAGCTGTCTCAGCAGTTTGGAGTACCAGTGGATAGTTTATACGAGGAGTAGCTGTCAGGTAAGATACCCCCCGTCGTTTTGGTCACTGTCTTCTGGTGCCTGTGCGGAGTGAGGAGCATGAACTCAAGAGTGATACAACGGCAGATGATGTGGTTGGGAATGACAGAGAAGAGTAGTCAACAGTGAAAAAGCGTTAGCCAGTCTTCCACATTACATGCGGGTTGTTTTTTACATTCGGTTCCCTCCTCAAAGGGAACTAGTGGGGCCTGCGTTGGCTTGGCAAAAACCTTAGACGGGGCGTCAGTGTAAGTTGAGGGGGCTGTTCCAAACCTGCTTGCTCATCGGGGTATAGAACGGACCATGACACATTCTTGTCATCCCCATGTAAGCCGTAAGCACTGTACCGGACACAAAATCCTAAACTGACAACTCCATTCCTAAATCCTAAACCCTAAACCTGAAACCCTAAAACCTAAATTCTCAACCTTCAGCCGTAAACCACTCGCTTCCGAGATGGGCAGATGCAGGATTAGGTTCCGCGGTAGTACCCCTTTACCCTTTTTCTTCTCGGGGCCCCTTATTAAAAGCAAATAGTGTCCTCATGATTAAAGGCCTCTTGGGGAACCCTAAACCCTAAACCCTAAACCCGGAAACCTGAAACCCTAAACCCTAAACCCTAAACCCTAAACCCTAAACCCTAAACTGAACCTAGAAGAAGGTGTTTAGGGTTTAGGGCTGGGTCTGCCAGTTGGCCCCTTTTGCCCTTTTTTGGAAGTCTTAGGTTCCTTCTAAAAGTATGCAATACCAGAAAAGGAGCCCTTTCTAATCCTAGGTTACTGGGACATCCTAAGGGTTTAGGGTCCATCATAAGCTGGCTAAGCCTCAGGGCCTTTGGATTCGGGGTTTAAGGTTTAGGATTCTTTTATCCTAAACCCGAAACCCGAAACGTTCAACCCAAAACCCTGACCCAGCCGCCTAAACCTAAACCCCAAAATTCTATATCCCCCCAAATTCCAAGATCCCACGTCCCAGGCGACAACACGAGGCTTTGATGCGGCGCCTGGATCTGCAGGAACCGCAAGGGTCTAGCGGTTTAGGGGCTTACAGGTTTTGAGTTCAGGATTTTCGATTTCACAGTTTTCGGTTTCGGGGGGGTTTAGGGTTTGGGTTTAGGGCTCAGGGTATCTATTGGGGCTTGACATTAGTACCGTAGGCCTTCTATATATATATATATATTATATGTACGTATTTCTTTATTTATGTATATGTATGTACAGACATGCATACATAGACACACATAACTCATGGGGGTATGGGCTGTGATGTGGGAGCCTCATGCCCAAACATGAAGGTTCGAGGGTGGAGCCATTTTTGGCTTTATGTAGGGCCCCTAATATTCCTCGATGATCTCAACTTAATAGTGTCATAATTAGGGCTGTATGCTGTGTTAGAAGGTTCTTGTTGAAGAACGGATTAGGCAAGATTAGTAAAAGACCCTAGCCTAAACACAACCCCAAACCCCAAACCCTAAACCGCACGGTACTCCCTTCCGGGAACCCTGAAGCTCACACCCTTCAACTCCAAATAGTTAAAGGAAACTACACGTGGGGAGTTTAGGGTGTATAGGGCTTCTATAAGGCTTCTATAAGGTATATAGACCTGTAAGGCTCCCATTTCGGTAACTACGCACCTGGAAATGTCTTCCAAATAGATGTGTGGCCGGGGTACTTAGGGGAGCATAGAAATAATTCGTAATTGTTACACTCCTTAAGGAAACAGCGTAAACGATGATTTGGGCTAGGGTCCCAAGTTCGGTATAGGTTAAGAAGGAGCTCGGGGGTTTAATGTAGGCTTCCTTGGCATCCGTGATGGGTTCCTTTCAAAGGGGTACTTAGGGGTTAGGGTGTAGAGTCTTTAAGGGTTGCAATGGTTGCCATGGTCGTTTGGTCTGTTGGCATTAGTGCGGGTCTTACTATTTGGGGTCGGGCTTCGGTGTTATGGTGTAACGCTTGCTGGTTTAGAGATTGAGGGATCAGGCTCGGGGGCTTAAGGCGCAGGGTTTAGGGTCTAGGATTTACGGTCTAGGGTTGAGTATTTAGGGTTTAGGGTTTCAGGGGGGTTTAGGTGAGGGAACCCAACACTCCTTGCTTCAGGACTACGTATACGATGGCTAAAACACTTGCGCAACACACGGTTCTACAAGTTGGTGTTTATTTGCTGATTAAGAGGTCTTGGGTCTAGTGGCCCGAAGCAATGAACTCTCAGGGAAGACACGATTTCGGGCTTCGTTTTGGTGCCCCTAAACCCTAAACCCATGAAGCAGGATAACCTGCTCCACCGCTTGCTGAGCAGCGCTGCAGCCGAGGGCGGGGGCAGTTGCTCGACAACTTCCTTCGGAAGCAACTGCTTGGGGGGATTTAGGGTTTAGGGTTTTAGGGTGTGCTGAGTTCAGGGCCTGCAGGTGTGAGAGATTTGAGGAGCCTCCGAACAAAAAGCAGCTCAGACCCTGGTCTAGGAGCCCAGACAGTTGAACCGCATCTAAGATGATGGAGAAGCGTCGTGGGATGTACCACGACCACGACCGCTACGACTATCCTGATGAAGAGCGGTCATGAGTTCGTGCGCTATTGCACAGTTGATCGCCTTGATGTCTTTTTTGACCAAGTTTGTGTTGAAGGCTTTAACTTTGTTTTTGTTCGATGCACTGTAGCGGTGGCGACACTGATGGTGCCGATGGTGATAGCGATGCGGATGGAAAAGCCCTAAACTCCTCAACTAAACCCCTAAACGTCTGAACAGTGGCTGTCTTTGCAGAGCATGGGTTATCTGCAGGCGGCTTTTCAGCAAGTGCCAGCCTCTCCGCGATCAATAGCGCGACTCCCTCCGGGTTCAAGGCGCCACTCCTACAGCGAGTTTCTAGCCGTTGTGTCCCCACCAGGTTCCTACCTGTGACCTTTCAACCCCCACCTTTTAAGGCATGATATATAGAAACCAGAATAAGGAATTCTAAACTGGGTTCTTAATCCCTAAACTCTGAACCAAAATCCCACGGATTTAGGGTTTACGGTGCGTTTAAATCCGAAACCTTACCTTGAGCCTCAAATTATACCCTAAACTCGCACTCTAAGCCTGAAACTCAATAGTAAAAATCGGGTCCCGGGCTCCTAATTTTCAGGAGCCCTAAGGAATCTTATTTTAGAGCCTTAAGGTTTAGGGTTTAGGGTTTAGGGTTTAGGGTTTAGGGTTTAGAGACTTAAGGTTTAGGGTTTAGGGACAGGGGTTTAGGATTTGGGGCTTATCATTATAACCCAAACCCAGGCGAAGCCTGGAGATACGTCAGATACAGCGGGGAGTCTAGGGGTTAAGGCTTGGGGGTTTGGGGGTGTAGGATTAGGTTTTCAGGTTTTAGGGGTTTGGGGTTTAGGGTTTAGGGAAACACTAAACCCTAAACCCTAAATCCAAGGGTTTCTTTGTATGGGTTCACTCCAAGTCTAAGGCGCTTTCATGAAGGATTTCTCAAGCTCCTCAGCGGTTTGTTGCAGTCAGGAACTCCTGCCGAAAGGCTTCGATTCCGCTTCCGAATCTCCAGAAGGAATCTGCCTAAAGGACATTCCAGACGTAACTTAGCCTTAGGGGTACTTAGAAAGGATTTTTAATGTTTGGCTACTGTAAACCCTAAGAAGCAGCTAAACTTATAATTTTTGCGAGGGGTCTAAGTTCAGTATAGTAGGAGTGTAGTTACACTGGTTACAGCACTCGAAGCCCTGTCAATAGTATCCGTATATACTCCCTACATAACTACACGAATATTGGGAGCCCGAAGCCCGATCCGAAGCATGTATCACTAGACCGTACTTTCTGCGGGTTAGGGTTTCGCGTCATCATAGACCATACGGGTCGTTCTCTAAATTAGGGTCCCTTTTTAGGTCCCCATAATAGTACGGCACCCTTATAAAAGGGACCCTCAAAGGAAACCTAATTTAGAGAACTACCCATATCCCACAAGAACCAACCTAGAGACACCCTCCTCATGCCCGAAGCACCGCGACATGAAGAGCCTTAGGGTTTAGGAGTTTAGGGTTTAGGGGTTTAGACTTTGGTTGTGGTTTAGGGTTTAGGGGCTGAGGGTTTCAATTAGGGGTTTAGACTTTGGTTGGGGTGTGTGTGGGTGTGTGTCAAGGGTTTGACTGGGACTTTGGAGTGTTCGCAGAGTTCAGTATGAAAGAAAAGGCCCTGAACCCCTAATTAGACCCCTAAAGCCTAAACTCCCAGATCCCTAAACCCTACCTAAACTTTTGCGATTCAGGCGTTTGGGGCCTCGACTGCAAAGTGGGGAAAACCCGGGCTCGTCCTCCCCGAGCCCCAATATTCAATATGAACAAGCTGGCAGAGAGAGCAGAAGAACAGCAACCGTAAACCCCAAACCCTAAACCCAACCCTTAAACCCTATACTCTAAACCCCTAACCCTAAGCCCTAAACCCAAAACCTAAACCCCTAATCCCAACTCCCAACCCCTAAACCCTGAACCCTAAAACCCCTAAAGCCGTAAAGCTGAAGCCAGGGATCCCCTAAAAGCCTTTCCCAAACCCCTCGACCCTCGGAGCGAACGTCGAAACAGTAGCAGCCTTTATAGGACCCTTACTAAAGCCCTCAGGGTTCTATAAGGATTTAGGGTTTAGGGTTTAGGGTTTAGGGTCTAGGGTACTACAAGGGTAGTGTAAGGGTTCTTCTAGGGTACTATAAGGGTTCTATAAGGGCCTTACAAGGGCACTGTAAGCGCACTGTAAGGGTTTAGGGAACTATAAGGGATCCAGAAGGCTTCTGCAACCAACTTCATGGGAACTACTTATCAACCTCTACATGACCCCTTACCTCTACACTCTCAACCCTAGACCCTAAACCCTAAACCCTTAAACCCTTAACCCTAGACCCTAAACCCTAAACCCTCCTTCTTCACCGTCCTTGCTCAGGGCAGCGGGAGAGAGGACGGCATCCCGCCGTCCCTGCCGTCTCCGAAGCAGTCCAAGTCGAAGGGGTCGCTTCTGACATTCGCCTTGAAAAGGGTTTAGGGCTTAGAGGGTTCCCCTACACCCTCAACCCTAGACCCTAAACCCTGAACCCTTGACCCTAAACCCTAAGCCCTGAACCCTGAACCCTAAACCCTAAAACCTGAACCCTAAACCCTAAACCCTAAATCCTAAACCCTAAACCCCAAACCCCTAAACCCTAAGTGGGGGTTCGGCTTCGGGGATGTAGGGTTTCGGGTGGTCCGGATCCCTCGCTGCAGGGGGATTCGGATCCACAGACAAACCCTAAACCTAAATAAGCCTACACCCACAACTCTAAGACACAAAACCCTATGAGTCAAAGGAAACTACAGGTGGGGAGTTTAGGGTATATAGGGCTTCTATAAGTGTTCCGCGCTTGATCCCCGGATTTCCGGGTTTTTCGAGCCTTCGGTTTCAGTCCCTGGGTTGCCTGAGCTTTGGGGTGTAGGGTTTAGGGTTTGGGGTTTAGGGATTAGGGTTTAGGGTTTCGGGTTTCGGGTTTAGGGTTTAAGGTTTAGGGTTTAGGGTTTAGGGTTTAGGGTTTCAGGATTTGCAGAAAGAAGGGATCCCCAAAATCCTTTCACACGGATCCTTAAAGCCTAAACCCATAGGTGTTTCCTGCAACCCCGAAGATAGCACCTGTAGGGTTCCGGGGTTGGTGGTTGGCGATGTCGGGATCCCCCCACCCCCGCCGTCAACACCGCAACAAACTTCATGGGGAGCTTTGGGTAAATAGTAACAAGCCGGTGCCATCCCAGTACATTAATAAGCTAACTGGATCGAACTCCCCATATACTCCCCAAATTCTTGTCCTAGTTGAATTATTTTCGGCGCGCTTGATGCCAAGTCTGAGCTCTAGACCTGCAAGCGCTTGTCGTGGTCTTTCGGTTTAGGGCTTAACCGTTAAGCCCCAAAGCCCTGAACCCTCAAGCCTCAATCCCTGATCCCTAAAGCCTAAACCCTTAAACCCTCAAGCCTCAATCCTAAAACCCGAAACCTTAAGCCCTCAAACCTACACCCCTCAAACCTACACCCTCAACCCTATAAACCCTAAGCGCGAAACTCTCAACCATCAACCTAATCTAAACCCTAAACCATACACCGTGAGTGTTCTGATTGGGCGACAGTTTTCCCTGGGTTTGGAGTACCATACTTGAATGCATTGTTTTTGTTGGACCTGTTGATTGATTAAAGGGACCATCATCTCTCGGGTTAAGGCCCTGGAGTCATGGGGTTTCGGGCTTGGTCTTAGGGTTTAGGGGATTGGGGTTAAGGTTAGGGTTGAGGGGAGTGTTGGGGTCTTGGGCTTAGGTGTTAGGGTCTAGCGTCTATAGGGCTCAGGGTTTACGAGTAGTTCGGCGAAGAAAGCGCTAGTCCAGCAGTGTGGTTCCAACAACGGCAAAGCCCACCCGCCCAAAGAGTCCCACAACATCAAGAAATTCATGTTGGCAGCACCCTAAACTCTAAACCCTAAACCCCGAAACCCTAAACCCCAAAGAACAGGCCAGAGTGGGCCAGTGTTAGGGTTTAGGATTTAGGGGCCCGTGGTTAGCCTTTGTTCTGCTTAAGGGACCTGAGGAGATGATGCCTAGTCCTTCAGTGCCGAGTCCTTTATTAGGGCTTAGCGTTTAGGGTTTAGTATGGTGGCCCTAAGTATTCTAAGCATACTCTAAATCCCCATTCTAATTACTACTATATAAAGTCATTGCTTTTAGACGTAAAGTTATAGCCACATGCTCAGGACGAGTTACACAAATGAGGACCTGGCACACAAGGATGAGGCGCTCACCACCCACGGCCAGTACTCGCGGAACAAGTTCAACAAGAGGAGCCCCGAATGTTCAGCGGTTTACGGTTAACCTCAACACCAAATACGCTACATCTGTACCCTAAACCCTAAACCCTAAACCCTAAACGGTAGGTTACTTGGGATCCAGGTGGGGTTTCGGAAGCCTTCGAAAGAACCCAACAGACCTTGTCTTACAGATATGGGCTCCTACAGCCGCCAACCCTCCCTAAACCCTAAACCCTAAACCCTAAACCCTCATCCCTACTAAAGAGGAGTCTCGGGCTTAGCTTCAAAGCGGGGCTGTGGCGTTTAGGGCAAGCAAATGCTGGTCGGATTTCGGGTGAGTCGGCCTGTGGAGGTTTTCGCAAGAGTCTTGTTTGGTGTGTACATATACATATATATATATATATATGTATGTATGTATGTATGTATGTATGTATGTATGTATGTATGTAGGTACGTATGCATGTATGTATGTATGTACGTGGGTATGTA